GAGAGTGGCGAGCGAGATCTGGGAGAGGGGAGATAGGGGAACGAAAATATATGCAATAGATACAATTTTCTCTCGGTTTATACAAACACAAACACATTTTATACAATTTGTATTTTTTGTATAAAGTGAGAGAGCAAGATCTGGGAGAGTGGCGAGCGAGATTTGGGAGAGGGGAACGAAAGTATATGTATATATACAATTTTCTCTCGCTTTATACAAATACAAACGCACTTTATACACTTGCGTTTGTATAAAAATCGAGAGAGGCGAAGGAGAGAACAAGAGTGGCGAGCGAGATTTACCAGGAGAGATGTGAAATAGCAACAATTTGCTATGAGGTACAATTAAATCAAACTATATTTATAGCATTTAATTTGAATGAATAGTTTGCTATTATATACAATTTTCCCTTAAAAGTAACCAAAGAAACCAATCAAAATCCAAGAATTTGAGAAGGATAAAGTAAATTCAACCTTTTGGCTCCTAAAGCCTCTTAAAAGTCGCAAGTATTCAACTTAAAAGATATGTTCTTATCAACATTTTAGTTTCATAAAGATAAAAAGTATATATATTCCTTAATTCTTCAACTAAAATAATTAGGGCGGAGCTAGAATCTTGCATATAGGTTCGATCGAATTTAGTAACTTTTGCTCAAATTAAATATTTGTATTAAGAAATTTATTAAATATTTATCAATATTAAGTTTAAAACTCAATTACTAACATTTGGTACTCATAATATTAAAATTTGGACTTTGCCATTTAATAATTACTAGTTTTTATATTTTTCTTCCATCTCATACTTCATGTATGGATTTGACTTTGAGAACTTGTCCCTACTTGGAAACAACTTTCCTTTTTTTATTTTCTTTCGAGATATTTGTTTTGAAATCTAATTAATTTATATTCATTTTAAGGATGAAATACTTTTTGTCCAAGGCAACTCAATTCTCATGACTCAACCAATTACTAGCTTTTCACTTTTCTTCCATTTCGTACTAAAAACACATGAATTTTTGGAGAAAATTTCTCAAAAAAGAGGTCAGTAGGAAATGGAGTTGGCAAGCGATTCACCAATAGACATTATGTTGGGAATCCTATATTTCCAACATACCTTGATAAAAAAAAAAAAACCATCAAAAATTCACGTGTTTAATAATAAAATTCAAGTTTTTTTTTTATCAAGAATAACAAAATACTTATCGCCCCATTTCAAGAACTTATGTCATCATCCTTCCAATCTCAATAAAATAATCTCTTAGTATTTATTTACTTTTGGTTCAATGATAACTTTGGAAACTAGAATATAAATTTACCACACCAATTGATTGACATGATGATGTAACTACTTACTAGTGCTAAATTTTCAGTTTATTATGTGGAGACAAACCAAAAATATGTGTTGTCTCTAAAAATCTAAAATGACTAGTATTTCTTTTACAGTAAAGTAATTTATTTAGTTCAAAATTTATCTTTTTAATTATTTAGTAAGATTTTTAACACATATAATATTTAAGTTGATATTACTAAAATTGAATAAACCCGTGAATATTAAGCCATATCTCATAATCTTTGGAAAATATAAAAAACGAACAACGAGAATTGAAAAGGATCATATAGAATTATAGTGAGATAAATAAGATATCTATATCTTAACTAAAAAATTTAAGTTGAAGCTCTGAATATTGAAAAAAGAAAGAACTGACTGAAAACACTTTTCCTTTTAATAACTTTATGTGACATATATAAATCAATATTAATCTAAGTGTTAATACCGATATTAAAGAAAAAATATAATTAATTACTACTAAAAAACTTGTAAAAAGTACACACAATTATTAAAATATTTAGGAACACTTAAATAATAGTGTATGGGAATTGCCAAAAATCCAAATCTTTGTTGGAATTCGTTTATTCTTCTTATTCTTCCAACTAGGAGAAGAAATTGATTCCTCCACGTTAGATGTTTGCTTTATCTAAAGTCCAAAATGTGAGAGAATAATTTCCTCTGTTCGTTTCAAATTATCTGTTTGTTCGTATTTTCATAATTTATTTAATAAAATAGTGTAATTAGTTTCTTTTTAAACTATTTGACTCTTATTGATATTTTAAGATATAATTTTCTTTATTGAATATTTTACTCGATTGGATTTTAAATTATTTGTCATAATTTTTACACATTCTCTAAGAAAATAGTGTAATTAGGAAGGACTTTAATTATTTATTGTTATTGATATTTTAAGACATTGAATATTTGTTTTAGTTATGTGTAGTCTTCAAAAATAATTACTACTCAAAGTAAAATAAGAAAAAATAATTAGTTTTGTGTCAAATTTTTAAATAATAAATAATTTGAAATAGTAATTATTTTTAAAAAACACGATAAATAATTTGAGACGATGAAAGTAAACTTTAAAAAATAGAGGGGCTAAAATATAAAGTCCATAAAGTTAATTGGGAATAGTGTTTGAAAAAAGAAAAAGGCATTCACCCGTGCCTTCACATTTTCAGTCTTTTTGCAGTTTGCCCCCACTTTTTATATCAATTGCTTTTTTAGTAGCTTAATTTACTTTTTCATAAATATTACTACTATATTTATTTATTTTTTACCAAAGTGTTTCCCTTTTTAAAACTTTTCACTTTTTCCTAACTTTTGGATAAGATTATATAAAAGACACTATGCAAATTGTTTTACAAAAAAACAATTAGTATGTAATAGATTACGCAAATATTGCATGTAGTTTGATTCATAGTATTTTACGATTCCTATTCGTTCCAATTTTATGTCGCGCTAGAATGATAGTAGTTGTCTAGTCTCATCCGAAAGTTTAATCTCCTTACTTTTTACTATTGTTTTTACTTTTTACCTAGTTGGCTCCTTCTGATCTTTAATCGCGCTAAAGGCCAACGATAGACAATAACCGCACGCCCTCGCCCCATCTTACAACTTTATCGTATTGTGCTTCTTCAAAAAGTAACTCTTCTCAAAATCTACTCAAACAATTATTACTATACCCCTATTAGTATATCATGTACTTCTCTTCACGTGACATAATATTTGTGTGGCGATAAAAAAGTTAAATATCCTCATTGGTCTATAGTGCTTTTTTGGGCAAGAGTTCATGGGCTCTACCTAGTCCAGCCCATCCAAGAATTGAGATTGAACTCCTCAAGCCAATGAAGCTAAACTGTTATTTTTGGGCTTGCAGTAGAAATGGCCCGATGACTTTATTGGGCCTTGATACACTCAAACGAATTGATTCCGGCCCATTCACATCGTCTTGCTATTAACGAACAATATGGCAACTTGAAAATGTGCTTTCCGGTGTTTTCATCAAATTATATTAAATCGTGTCATAGTTAACTAATAAATTAAAGTGAGACATTATGTTTACGTTTCATATAATTGTAGTTCAAACATTGTTGTCTCACTTCAAACATACATGACCGAGGTTCAATTATATTTGTCAAATTTTACACGATACAAATTTAAGTTAATCGAAATAAAAAATATATATTGGACATTGGTGGTCCAAGGAGGGCCCCTTTCCAAACAAAAATGGGAACATTATTAAAGTGAGATTTACACTATTGTTGTGCAAGTGATAATGATTGATGTGGACAAACTAAAAACCACTAATAATTATAACTTTTTTCTTCTATATCTACACATTTTAGTGACTAATAAAACCCAAAAATGTTAAACAAGACAAATTATGTGTGCGCTAGTTGCTAGAAAGGGATTATCCAAATATATAATTTTTGTTTTTCAATTTTATACTCGAGATTAGTGGAATCTGATTAAATTTGAATTTATACCAACTCAATTTTAGTTATTGCATTGCTGCAAGGGTTATTTGTCCATTTGATTTCTATTTATTTTGATAATATCATAATTCATTAAGGATTGATTGAGTTAAATTGAATATTTTTTTTTGTGTATGAAGTTATTCAATGGAAGAGTGGAACTTCTAATAACAGAAACGAGTATTATTATAATGAATAAACTCAAGTTTAACATAATCTTTTTATCTATATAAATTATAAGGCTATTAATTAGCCAATAAATCAAAGCATAACATTATGAATAAATTTGTTATTATTGATCAATTAAGACTTTCAAATGGCTCATCAATGTTGATTATATATATGGTAATATATATGGTAAATAATTCATTAGAGTGAATATTCAGTATTTGATTCGATATTCCCAAAATTTGATTTCAATAATTTGAATAATCACTAATTAAAAATAAATATCAAATATCGAACTTACAATTCATTAAAAGTGGACGTTCAATACTTAGTTTGGTGTTTTTAAAATCTGATTCGTTAATTTCGATAATCCCTAATTAAAGTAGATATCAAATATCAAACTTATAATTCCTTACGAGTGGACGTTCAACATTTCCAAAGTTTGATTCAATTATTTCGATAATTGGTTATTAAAAGTATATATCAAATACTATTCTTAAAATTTAATTTTGGTAATCTTGATAATCGATAATTAAAAGTAGATACGAAATATTAAACATACATTCATTAGAGGTGAATGTTCAATATTCATTAATTTGATATTTTCAAAGTTCAATTTCAATAATCTCGATAAACAATAATTAAAAATATATAGTAATTAAATACCAAACTTTTAAAGTTCGATTTGGTACCATAATCAAATTTCAATTTTATGAGTAATAATAATAGATAAAAAAATAATTTATTTTTATATTTATAGAAAAAGTTAGATGACGGCACGTAATCCATTTGGCCCACATAGATTTTTCCCTCCTATTTAAATCGCCTTTAACAAATTCCCAAAAATTTCCGCCGCCGTATCTCCGGTAATCATCCGCCATAGCCGCCGATTCCGCCGCCGTTTTCTTCCTTCAGTCGCCGTCCGTACACGTATTCTTCTTCTACTTTTTTCTCTTTCCGCACAAAAAAATCGAAGAAAAAATAAATTAATTAAATTATCCAAAAAAACAAATGAATTCCGGAAGCTCCGATTATCGCGGTAGAATCGCCACGATGAAGACATTCAGATAAAATCAAGCATTATGGTGAAGAAATTCAAAAAAAAAATGCATTCTATTTGTTGTGACACAGACGTGGCTGATCGGAGTACGGCGTCAGCATTGCCGGCGACTAATAATATACCTTTATCTAAGTTCCTGGATATGCATCCACCGCGATCTCCTCCTCATTCCAAATCACGCGCCACCGCAAATAACAACGCGGAAGTTGATTATTCTGGTGATGAATTTCATTCGGCGAGGATGAATGATTTTGCAGGGAATGACATTTCTGGAATTTTATACAAATGGGTGAATTACGGTAAAGGATGGAGACCTCGATGGTTCGTTTTACGTGATGGAGTTCTTTCGTATTACAAAATCAATGGACGGCATAAGATTGTGACGAATTCGGAGACGGAGAAAGGATCGATGATCATCGGAGAAAAGTCGTTTCGCCGGATTAATACTTCGTCAAGCACATCTTCGAAATCTCATCGGCGAAAACCTTGCGGAGAAATTCACCTCAAGGTATCTTACATTTCCTCATTTCGAAGCCTTTTTTAGAATAATTTTAGTTATAATTAATTGTATGACAAGTTTTTTTTTGAGTGTAATTAAGCATCCCAACAAAATCATCTCGTGGCTATTGAGAACGAATTTAATAAGATGGTTTTATTTCTCAGTGTTTTTGTGAAATTTTATTTAAAATAAAGCTTTTTCTCTGCATTTATCCATATTGTATAAAAAAAATTGTAACTTTCTTGTAGACAATGTTTAAAATTTTCAAAAATAGTTACCTTTTAAAGTCACTTGTATGTTGTGTAATGCTCTCCATTTCGCATTATTTCGTTGTTGTTATTGCTCCCATATCTGTATCTCTTTTTTCAAATTGTTTGGCATGCTTTATGTAAGTCGGGGGTCTATTAGAAACAACCTCTCTATTTCTATGAGGTAGTGGTAAGGTCTACGTACAGTCGTACACGCTACCCTGTGTTGATGTAGTTACCTTTTAGAGTCACTTTTTTTTTGAAATTAGTGAATTTTCAATTATTACCTTAGTACTTATGTCCAAATCAAATGGGACAACTAAATGGAATGGAGCGAAGGGAGTGATTGATTAAGTAGTGTGTTGGTAGAAACTTCACAATTACTGTTTGAAGTTAAATAGTTGAAATGGATTTGAAATTTTGAAAGAATTAGGTGTGTGTCATATTCTCTTTTGGGGACGTTGAATATAAGATGTGCCGTATAAACTGAGATAATGGGTGTACATTATGCTCGCAAGTAGCAACTGTGCCCTAGTGGTTAGTAGTGGAAGGCCTATTGGTAGAACAATGTACTGTTTCAGAAGTTCTGTTCAACATTTCTTGTGGGGCTCTTTATTTCATGATGTTAGTGTGCCATATAAAATATCAATTTGTAACACAGATGTTTGTTTTATTTGTCTGACTGTTTTGATTTCGGAGTTGGATATTCTACTAACCAATTAGTGTTTTTATAGGTCTCGTCAATAGAAAGTCGATCAGATGACCGGAGGTTTTCTATAAGTACTGGGGCAAAGAGGTTGCATTTGAGGGCAGAAACAAAGGAGGACCGACGTATTTGGTTGGAGGCATTGACTGCGGCAGTAAAGTTGTTTCCAAAATGCGATCCTGTTCTTGACGTTCAAATGAATGAGAATGTGTCTGTGTCAACTGAAAAGTTGAGGCAACGACTCTTGGAGGAAGGTGTAAGTGAGGTCGTGATTCGGGACAGTGAGCAGATTATGAGAAATGAATTTGTAGCATTGCATAGTCATCTCCAGCAGGTGAAGCGGAAGCAGATGTTACTGCTTGATAAATTGGGGCAGTTGGAGGTATGACCTGCCACAAATGACACATTTCTGCTATTCCTTTTGCAACTTCCACTTGCTAATCATTTCATAAGTTTTTGTTTTAGAAAATGACACTTCTGGGCTCAAATAGTGATTGAATGAAGTTCTGCAGTTGTCAAAAGGCTTAGGAAGATGTGAAATGCTAGGCAGCTCATATTCACACTAGTGCTTCTCATAGCATAGTATAGCCTTTACGAAATGTTATGTAGGAAAAAATCTTATCTAATTGCACTATGAAGCAAAGATCATTCATTTCAGTCTACACCAAAATGGAGAACTACGATTTGGCTTGAACTGCATAAATGATTCACTTGAAGAATCTCCTCAATGAGAACAATCTTTTAACATTTTTTGAATTCTATTATTTTTTGTCTGAAACCAAAAAAGAGAACTTCAATTTCATAGTGAGAGTCTAGTCGATGAGAGATTACCGTACATTTACACTCAATTGAGTTGAACTAGTCTTAGGAGTTTCTTTCTTGAGTTTGCAGCATATTGTAAGAAATTCCTATGCCTCATTACTCATGTTGAATCTCCATTCTAGCTGCCTTAGCCAATTAACTGATGAATGTGGTTTGTGCTTGATTCTGCCTTAATAAGAAAGCTGGTGATCATCAATTCATCAGGGCGTGTATTTGTTTACATGCTAGATGGGAAGAATTAAGTAAACAGTTCTGCATCCATTGACGAGCTTGCAGTGCAACAAGATGGATTGTATGTCATGTTCTATTTAGTATGGATTCCTCATGAGAGTTTGTTTTTGAGTAATATTAGGTAGAGCACTTCAGAAGTTACCAGCATTGGAGTACTTACACTGTTAGTTTCGTTAATAGTTATAGAATGGAATAGAGAAGAATATTGCAGTCATGATAATTATTTGTCATAATTAGGGAAAAGTGAGAAAAGAACAGGAAGACATGAGAGTAAATCTTGGCATTAAAGTGAAAGAGATTGCAGTGACCGGAACAGTTAGAAGAGAGAGAATCAGAAAAAGACGTTGAAAGATCAGCTGAAGGAAATGCGAGAGTGGAAAGTGTAGGACTTACTATTTTCAAAATGCAGGAGTAATAATGAACCATGGAATGGAGGAAAGCTGTTGATACTCTATTCCGAATCAATCATTCATTCATCTCGAATTACTAAATGATGTAACAACCTTCTATAATGGACTAAACGTTACTAAAATTTGAATTGTATTGCATGAGAAATTATCAGGTGCCAGATTTGCTTATATCTCTTCAGAAAAATGGAAAAGCTTTTCTCCATCTAATAAAATGAGGAAAGCACGGTTAGGAAGTTATTTGGAACATACTATCTTTTTCATGACTCACTAGATTTTTGTCAGAATAATGTCTGCTTTTGTTGTGTACTGCCACTATTACTGCAATTTAAGTAACAAAAACTTCTATGCATTTCACGTTCAACTAGCATTACTAAACAGCAGATCCCAAATAAACAACACGAGCATATATTTTATTTCTTTATGCCCCAAAATGTTTCTGCTTCTATATATATAGTAATGCCAGTTGAGGTTGTTTTCATTTGATTCCATTTCTGGATCCTGATTTAGGTGTCTATCTGAAAGCCTATAATTCCTTAGCTGAATTCTACTTAGTTGAGCCTCAGAGTCACTCACATATGAGACTCTTGTGCTTTATGATATACTAAAACTGCTCTTAATCTGCTCACCCACAGACAGAAAAAGTTGACCTCGAGAACACTCTCATTGATGAGGGTCACAGACAGGCAAGAGATCGTCAAACTTATTCTGAAGCATCTCTGGACAAATTTAGAGGTATGCATGTTTATAAGTTATTTCTCTTCGATGCGGTGCAACTGTTTCAGCTTTACTGATGGTATTTTTAATTTATATCTCCTAAAATAATAATGCCAATAATTGTAGTACAAAGCTTCCCCATTTCTTATCTTTTTCTCATCATTTTATATCTCAAAATTCATATGTCCCAGAATTTAAGGAATCCAAAGTTAAAAGGAAGGTGGCACCACCTGCTTCCTAAGGGTCTTTTAATTTCACTGGCTGAAAGATAATTCATGTGCATCAGCAAAGGTCTAACAGTTTTGTTCTAGGCATCTAATAACCAACCCACCACTTTGCTTTATCTAGATCTAAATAATCAGTCAAGATATGATATATTTGCCATATCTTTGAGCAACTGAAATGTTTTGCATAAACAAAAAAGCCAGCTTGCATGCACTTCGATATCGATCAAGTACCTGCTACTTTCTACCTGCATAGCTCTTGGGTTACTCGGCATATTAAAGTTTAGACAGATAGAAAGATTTCATTTAGTGTCACGTCTTCTGGGGATTTAAACCTTGGTTACCATGATAGTTTCACAAACTTTTTGGTCTCTAGACCATCTCGTTGGGGCATGGCTCCACCTTGCTTTGTAGAAAACGCTTAACTATGTTACAAAAATGAATTTGGTAGGACATGCTTAAAGACCCTCTTATACTATGGGGAATATGTCTAAAATACTCATGAGAGAACAATTACTAATTTTCAATACTTATGTAATGAGAACAGATTTTGGAAAATTAACACTGAAAATGACATAAAAGAATTGCTACGCTTTGCTCAACTGTCAATATGAGAATTTCTTATTGTTGTTATTGTTTTCAAGTCAACTGATAAAAACACAAGGTCTCTACTACCAGGGAGATTCTCAAAACCAAACTTCCATGAACAATTTCATTGTGTAGGCAACTCACTGGATTCTAATATTATGTTTATGAATGATCATGTAACAAGGGGATACACTGACTGATTATGCAGACACTTTGATTGCATTCAAAAAACTGCACTTACCTTAGCCTAATCGCATTGAGTCTAGCTATTTTAGGCCTTCAATAAAGTTAAGATTGAATAAAACTTTAGTTTGTAACAACAAAATTCAACAGTGTTCCTGTTGATACTCTCATCAGATTTGAAAATAAGGAGGATCTTGTCCTATGCCACATGAGTTTCCTGCTCCTTTTCTTTTCTGATGGAATCTTAAATGTTTTAGGTAAAATGACATGGAAGATGTGAATGGTTATTTTTCATTAAGTAGTAAACTGTTACTCCTTTGAATGGACCATATATTAATTTTGTAGAGAACTCGTGTGCTTGGTAGTCCGTGATGATTAAATAAACCAAGGTTTTGACATGGCTGCATTTTTTGTAAAATTGAGATTATTTCGTTTCCTTTCTTAGAAGAGAGAGGGACCCGCAGGACTTATTTATTGGGGGGGGGGGGGGGATGGAAAGCCGGAACTTTATTGATGGGAGATTTTCATCCTCTTTCTGCCATTCGGAAGAAGTTTTCTATAGAAGAAAAGTCTGTTATGAGTGAGTGGAGAGAAAGATCTCCAACGATCCTTATCTCATTCGTGGAGAGGAAAGATCTCCAACGATCCTTATCTCATTCCATTCGAGTGGCTCAACCAGTAACCATAAGTTAATATGCTTTTCCAAAAATAAAAGTTAAAATTTTAAAAAAGCTACTTGTTGTAAGTTGAACTTTTTTTAAAAAAATAATAATTCAAGATGACAATTTATACATTTGAAAATCTTTGTTAAAGTTGGTTACCTCATATTTAAAAGCAAAGTTGAAAGGTTGAAGATGTAAATTAGGATTCGAACTGGTTTAGCAATTTAGAAATGGTGAACTCTAGATTGGTTTATTACCCGGATTTCTTTTGTAAATGGTTTGATCATTGTTTCATTCTTACATTTACCATTTTTTGCTGATGGGACTACTCTTGAATAAATTATTAAATGAATCATTTCGAGGAAGTTTTCTAACTAGATTTCTTTCTTCTTCTAGTATTTCTAGGAGGAAGTGCAAGTGGATCTGACAACGAAGAGGATGATTCTGATGATGAAGTAGATGCTGATAGCTCGTTTTATGATGCTAAAGATGTTCTTTCTTCGAGTTCCACAAGAAGCACCGATTCTGATGATGAAAGATTATCATTTGATTCTGCGACTGTAGAGTTTCATCCTGCTGAAGATGGTCTTGGTTCTGGTACAAGATTTGCTACATCTGACTATCCTGTTGTGAAGCGAAGGAAGAAATTGCCAGAACCACATGAGAAGGAAAAGGGAGTAGGCCTTTGGTCAATGATCAAAGATAACATCGGCAAGGATTTAACTAAAGTTTGTTTGCCAGTGTTCTTCAATGAGCCACTCTCTTCTTTGCAGAGATGCTTTGAAGAATTTGAATATTCTTACCTTCTTGACCAAGCATATGAATGGGGAAAAACGGTAATAATTTTCTGGGCTTTGTCTCTATTTTCATCTTCATTTGTTGCTTCCAAGCATTGATTAGGCATCATATATATGACTATAGCTGATGCCATGCAGCTCCAAGACTAATAAACTTTTTGAGAAATTTGTAATATTTGAATGTTTGAGTTTCTCTTTTCCCCTTGGTTTCAGGATCCCTCATATTTTCTTCAGTAGACTCATGATAGTCGTTTCTGTCTTTCCATTATTGCCTTTTTTTTTTTTTCTGTGTACTTATTTAGGAAGAATCTGAAAGCTTTGATAAAATGTACTGATGACGAAAAATTAACAACAGTGTTCATCTTGTGTTAAATTTAAATTTTCTACATGTGAAAAGGCATATTCTTTAATGCCTGCAATTTGTAGAAAGATAAAGATTAGGCCTAGGTGTCATATCTTTATAGTATTTGATACCTTTCTCTTAACTGTTTTTCTAATTATTATCATTAGATTAACAAATCAGGATTTATTAACTCGTATTCCGAAGGTACTTCAGTAAGCAATAACTCTGTAAATGCCTTCTCTTTTTGGATTTCTGTCATCTGTGATGCATGGCATTCTTTGCCTTCTCTGCCCTATGAAAATATACCACCTTTGTTCACAAAACTTTGTAGGGAAATAGCATTATGAGGATTCTTAGCGTTGCAGCATTTGCTGTATCCGGATATGCTTCAACTGATGGAAGGATGTTCAAGCCATTTAATCCATTATTAGGCGAGACATATGAAGCCGATTACCCAGACAAGGGGTTGCATTTCATCTCGGAAAAGGTAGTCCTAAAAGCAGCTGGTTTTAAATGGTCCCTTTTCCTTATTCTAGATCAATGTCTATTGCTTAATGTTCTTCCAGTTTAGACTTACTATGCACACGTAGAAACATGCATAGGGCAAAAATGGAAATAACGTAGTGAGAAACTATTCTGCAACTTTTACCGGTTCGTTCTGAATTTTTATCTTTCAAACCTTCTAACAAAATGATGAATGGCAATATGCTTATTATTTGAAACACAAACAGGCACCAATTACTACCAGCATTAAACACTTATAAGCGAAATACTTCGGACGTCGTAAGATTGATATGCGATCCTTGACCTATTTTCATGTATGTTTCACTTTATAGTCACATATTTCTAAGTTTTGACAGTCAAGAAACAAATTACCCCTCATACAAAAATTTGGTAAAGAAAAGAACACGGCTAGGCTATGTAATACGATCTCTGCAACTTGACTTTTATTATCTTGTTCCTGCTTGTTTAATAACATATTTCTTGGTGACATAGGTTAGTCATCATCCCCTGATTCTTGCATGTCACTGCCAGGGTCGAGGTTGGAAATTTTGGGGAGATACAAATTTAAAAAGTAAATTTTGGGGTCGATCAATCCAACTTGACCCTGTTGGTGCCCTTACCGTGGAGTTCGATGATGGAGAGATTTTTCAGTGGGGCAAGGTATGTGTATTAAATTGAAAATACTGCAACTCCTTTTGGAGAAGTTTGCTGAACCATTTAACTGAATAATCAGGTTACAACTTCCATCTACAACATCATTATAGGAAAGCTCTACTGTGACCACTATGGCACAATGTATATCCGAGGGAATCGAGATTACTCCTGCAAGCTAAAATTTAAGGAGCAGTCTATTGTGGAAAGAAATCCTCACCAGGTGCAGAATCTCCACCTTACTAGTGCTTGCGTTCTTCCCACACCACCGCTTTCTATCAATTAGTGTCCTAGTGATCTTCTGCTGGATGGCAATAACTGAAGGTTATAATCCCTTTTGTGGGGATTTTGGTTAACAAATGCTGCATTACTTTCTTACTCAATGCTAAGTCACTTTAGCATTCCCTGTTTTTATAGTATTCTCTCTTCATACGTGGTCTTGGTATTATTTATATCTCTTCTGTATTTGCCATGCTTTTAAATGTACTATCTGTGGACAGCCCATATGGAATCGTCTCATATCAAATTGTCTTTGCAGGTACATGGAGTCATACATGATAAGAGTGGAAAAAGAGTGGCAACAATTAATGGAAAATGGGATGAGAGTTTGCATTACTCTATGGGGGATAATCCGTCAGATGATGTTGGACAAGATTCTGATTCAAAGTCACATTTGATTTGGAAGCGAACCAAACCATCAGATTTCCAAACAAAGTACAATTTAACGCATTTTGCTGTCACCCTGAATGAGCTCTCTCCTGACCTTAATGTAAGGGGATATTATAATTGATAGTTGTCATTGTGTTCTGTTCATCCGTATCTTTCAAATGTATTCTCATATCAAATGCTACTATTGTCAACGCAAACAGAAAAAGCTGCCACCAACAGATTCAAGGCTTAGACCTGATCAAAGGTTTCTTGAAAATGGAGAATATGAAATGGCTGATTCAGAGAAGTTGCGGTTAGAGCAGAGGCAACGTGAGGTAATGGAAATAGTTATTTCTTCATTAGTAACATTCTAATTTGCATGGTTTCATCTATGACTTCTTAGGTTCTTGGATTTTCTCGTCGGAATTTACCAGATTAGTGCTTATATATGTGTATTAGCTTGATTTATAATGAGGTAACAAGGTAATTCACATGCTTAAACCTGATTTTATATACGAGACATCCAAATGAATTTCGAAGTTGCTCACTTAATATTCATGTACAAAATCAGTGTTAGAACATGAAAACTTGTATGAATTTTATCAACTCTCGAATCTGTGTTTGTATCTCCAAATCTTTAGGCAATTGTTTTTTCATTTTTGTTGGAACATTTACATTTGGAACCAGCAAGAAATAGCCTATAGCAGAAGAAAAAGATCTATTTAGGTGATACCTATTAGATGGAATTAAGTTTTAATCATGATAATATTAAATCCAATGTTTGCTAAGTCTTTTATAGGGGTTGTTTGGTTGGTTGGATACACGATAGGAGTAACAGTCGTGGGATAAGATGTTTCTTTGTACGAAAATGTCGCAGGATAAGCTATCCATACAAAAGGTGGGATAACTAATCTCATGGGATATCTATATGCATGTAGCAAATATAGACTTTCTAGTGTTAGACAAACATTTCTCTTTCCATTAGATTTTTTAAAATTCTTTTGACATAACATTGCACTAAATGTGCTTAAATGGAGCGACTTTCACATCGCTGACCCTAACTTGCTTGAAATTACGGCATAATTGATACTACAACAACAAACCTGGTGTAATCCCACGAGTGGGGTTTGAGGAAGGTAAGGTGTATGCATCCTTGCCCCTATCTTTATGGGGTAGTCAGGTTGTTTCTGATTGACTCTCGACAACCCTTCTCCTCCTTTTTCCGAGCTTGGGCATAATTTTGTTAATTTGTATATGCAGGCATCAAAGATGCAGGAAAGAGGATGGCAACCAAGGTGGTTTGCTAAACAAAAAGGTAGTGATACATATAAATATAAAGGAGGATATTGGGAAGCTAGACAAACTGGTAAATGGAATTCATGTCCACATATTTTTGGTGAAATATCTCAACACACTTAGTTTCACCCCCAATTTATTACTATAAATTACTTTCATTGTTTTATACAAAGCCAAAAATGGAACTGAAATTGATAGATGTAAACTAAAACCACAAAGTTAGATAGATTAAAAAGATTTGAGTCCTACATCCATTGAAATATTTTGTATTTAGACAAATAAAATATACAATGCCTTTCATGGCTGTTGAATTTTTGATTTTGTAAGTGATTATTTCTAATTTTTTTTATGTGTGTATATAAATTTTATCTGACATTTTGTTAATAGTTTAACTTAAAAAGGTTATTAGGTGTATAAATTCTGTATTATCTAATGTATATTGTTATGTCTTGATCTAGCTCTTAAGTGTGAAAATATTTTGGTGTAGAATTGCAGTGTATATATAATGTTAAAATTATGATGTTGAGTTTTCTTGACTTTTTCGTATATTTACTTCTCTTATAGTTTAAGAAAAAATCCCAGCTCATTAGAACTATGGAAAGAAAATCAGTGGAAAAGAAAGTCAAATATTTAGTGATATAGTAAGAAAAAGGCAGCCAATGAATTTCATTTAAGTCTAATTAATCCTCTCAAGTCTTCATAGGACTCTTGGTCAATTGTCCAAATATGTTAAAATAAATTAATGGAAAATTGTCTAGAAAATTTGAGCTGTAAATTTTGACCTCTTTACTTCATGCAATATAAAATATAAATTATACGTTTTTCTTTTCTTATATAAGTTTTTGAAATATTGATAGTTAAATAATTAAATTTAGTCTCTTACCACGTTAATGGATGTGATCCATCTCTAATAAGAAGTTTAAGGTTCAAGTCGTATGAATAGAAACAATGACTTGAATAAGAATTAGTAAACTAGAAAACATGTCTCTTATTAGAATAAAAAACATAAATTATTTTCACCGATCACTTCACTTTCATGCAATATAACAAATCTTATTTTCTTAAATTTTCCGACCTCGAGCGAGTTATATTACTTATATTTTCCCATAAAAATTCGCAAATTAAAAGAAAATAAATAATTAAATAAAAAGAAACTTATAAATTTCATTATATCAACAATATTTTTTATATGTATCTCAACATGTATTTGGATCACAAGGGTACACAAGTAACAATTACATTTAGTTAGGTGCACATATTTTTCTTATGTGATGAATATTATTCTTGATTATTTCTATTGTAACATTAAAAAAAAATACAAAGATACATCAGTATGAAAATATAAGTTTTGAAATATCATATATTGCCATCCATATATTCTCTTTTGAGAAATTTCTTGCAAATTCTTTCCAAACATTTCCTATCTGGCTCAGCTTTATAAAGCTTAGATTTTGCATCTTCTGCAAATTCACTCTGTATATAAACAAAACACAAATAAAAACAATGATTAGAAAGGGAAAATTACATGAAATAAAATAAAGATGTTTAAAAATATCAATATTCTTGTTAATAAATATATAAGGGATAATAATTGCACTTTGGTCCCTCAATTACTGATAAATTTGTGAAGATATCTGGTTAGTGGTATCAAAAGTACATACACCAGTTAATTAAAGATTAAATATATGTTTATTAATAAAAAGATATAAGGACCAAAATCACAAGTCATCGATAATAATTGAATGATTTAACACTTCATAAATCGTTAAATATGTGAAGATTTTCGGTCAAAGGGATCAAAAGTGCGTATATATATAAAATAATTGAAGGTTAAATATACTTAATTGAAATCGGAATATATCCATCAATATTTAAAGGACTAAAAGTGCTAATTTAAAGAATTTATAAGTACCTGAATGGAACCATTGGAAAGTAGACGATCAATAAGATTAGAGAGTATATCTTTTGTATATTCAGGATGACCTTGTATACCTAAAATATGATCTCCCATTGTAAACATCTCCACATTTGTTTTTTCTGAAATTGCTACTATTTCTGCTCCCTTTGGCACTTCCCACACCTGTCCAATTTTTTCAAATTCGAGTTAATTTATATACACTGACAGTAATATCGTATATAAGAGACAGTTCAGAGCCTGCTTTAAATAGATGAGAGATATATAACAAGTTTAATTGCAAGAAAAAAATAAAAGTTTTCTTTAACACAAAAGAGATAGATAAGTAGGTTATTTGGGATTAGGGGTGAGCGTTCGATTTTTTTATTTTTCGATAAGATTTTTGAATTATTCAAATGTTTTAACTATAGGCGGAACAAAGGATTTGAACATGATGGGAAGTAGTTCTTGCTTAGTAATAATCTTATTGTACTTTTGAAAATATGAGTTTAGAATGTAATAGTTATTATAATTATAATGTATCTTGTCAAATATATATTCATATTTCATGTCGAAAATACTACTCCCTCCGTCCCTATTTACTTGTCCATATTTCCTTTTTTAGTTGTCCCTATTTAGTTGTCCATTTTGACAAATCAAGAAAGGACAACAAATTTTTTCCTATTATACCCTTATTTACACTTCTTGAAAATTGTAAAAGTGTATGTTGTTTCCCTCCAATTTATTTCACTTGAATTCAAATAAGTGGTGGTAATTTTGAAGTGAAAAGTTGTCATAAGGGTAAAATTGTAACTTCACTGTGCTAATCATTGTTGCCTTAATCTGTGTGCCATTTCTAAAGTGGACAACTAAAAAGGGACGGAGGGAGTAAGTAGCAACTAAAAGCTACACCAATCATTGATTTATTGTTGTAAGTAGGTAACATGTCTTATTTCTTACGTAACTATATTCTCATTTTTTTACGAACAGATACATGCATGTACTTATTTTTCAGATGACTTGATAGTATATAAATTGTTTTACACTATTCTAGAAAGTCAAATATGCATGGAAAATGTTGGTGATAGCATAGTTACATAGTGATTTGACTTTGTACTTACTTTATAATATTCCACATAATAGGCAAAAAATTCCAAGTAAATATGATTTCATAATAGAAAATAAAAACATAGAGATATATATATTACCTCATCTTGGTGGCACTCAATAATTGAAAGTGCTAGTGGGATTTCATCCAAATCACTAAGGAAGCTATGTGTTGAGAAGTCCTTCACAATGTTCAATTTCCTTAGTCCAATGTCCCAACCATTGTTAGCTTTACCAACTTTTCCTCCCAAAGCTCTACACAAAACCTATATATGGATATAAAAATATTTAGTAATTATGTTAGATATATATCCAAAATCCTCTTTTTATTTTGGAAAAAAAAAACCAATCACATATAAAAGAAAAAAGTTATCCTTTTAGAACAAGAATATGCAAGTACTTTAGCAGGTGCAATATGGTGTCCCTTTGCACTTTGGTATTTGTACTTTACCCAACTTGTTGGATGATTTTTTGCTATTCATAGAAAATATCTTTGAAGGATCAAAGTAACAATAAAATTATCTCATCATATAATTTTTAGGCTACATGTTCGAGCAATGAAATTATGTCACTAATGCTTGTGTCAAGATCGATTATTTACACCACACTTGCTTGGAGTGCAACCCTTTTCCCAACCTTGCATGAACTCGGGATAAGTTCATGCATCAAGTTGACTTTTTTTTAGAAAATATCATCCCTATTCCATTATTAGAAAATCGCTGATTTTCGATTGATGTCCCATCTAAATTTGACTCGTTTGAAATTTTATCAATGAGTCAAATTCAGATGAATTTCATCATAATTTAGTGATTTTCTTAATAATGCTCATTTTGTAGTAACTGTTTTATTTTTAAGATTACTAATGTCACAAATTACATATAACAATTAACCCATGCAATTATCTTTTTAACATCTTGATAACGATTTTACACTGTCAATATATATAAAAGTAACATACCTGATGTCCAAAGCAAATACCAAGAACTTTCTTTTGCATGAAATACAAAGTTTGCAAAAGTAGACAAAGTTTCAGAATCCAATGCTCATTCCCATATGCATCAAATGGACTTCCACTAATTACAAATCCATCATAATTAACAAGTTGATCCATTTCTGGAAATTCACCATCAACAACTCTAAATAAATCCCATTTTTCTCCAAATTCTTCATCACCAAAAGCTTCAACAAATACATTAAAATATCCTCCATACATTTTTTTCACATATTCTGAATCTTTTGCAGCTAATAATAAAGCATATTTCTTCATTTTTCCACCTTCAATCTTCATATTTTTTTTGAAGAAAAATATAAATATTCACTATGTGTGTGTGTGAAAAAATGGAAATTATATTTGTTGGTTTGTGTTTGAGATAGTGTAGATAAATGGTTGTATTTATAGAAAAAAAAAAAAGAATAACTACGCGTTTTGATGTGATTAATTGAATATAAGTAATTAAGGAATTAAATAATTAGCAAATAGAAGTTATGAAAGTTGACCATGTAAAAGGACAATAGAAAATAGTTATGTGTAATACCTCTATATATAATAATGCCAAACCTAATTTAACTAGGATTAGAAAACTTATTTTTATATTATTTAGACTAAGTATTCTAGTTTTAGACATGAATTAAATTAATACCAAATCCTAAACAAAATTTATTTCCTACTATAACTTTAATTATTATTCCAATTGTAGCTAGGTAAATTTTTTTTATGTATATATTACCATATATTGACACCTTTTGACTTCTTCTTAAAATTACTTTTTTATATTTTAAAACTCTCTAATAAAAATTTCAACAAATATCAAATCCTAAACAAATTTGGCTTCCTACTTTGATTCTGAATTATTATTCCAATAGTAGCAAGGTAATTAATTACTTTTCTTTTTAGGTATGGATTACAATATATTGACACCCTTTAACTTTTCGTGAATTTACATTTTTATATTTTAACATTCTTTAATAAAAAAATTCAACTACGCTATTAATATAATATAACATGAAAATTGATTGATTCCAAAGAAATATTGGCCGTTGTATAGAAATATCGTTATGAGTGATTAGGTCTGGTTGTATTTTAATATTTTCTGTTCATACGTATTATTTATTATATTTGTAGTGATTTTTTTATACGT